AGAGAGAGAAGGCGGGAAGAGGGAGAGGCCATGCACACACAGAAAGGGGTGAAAATGCTAGGCAGCTGAGGAAAGTTGCTTGGTACTTTTAAAGGGTAAAAATGGCATTTTTTTTTTTTTTCACTGCTTCAGCAGACTGATAACAGAAGTGGCTGTGAGATGTCAGAGGGTTCCCTAAGTAGAATACTCTTTATGTTTCCAGTCTCTGTGACTTTGTGTTCTACAACCAGTGGGAGATAGCTGTGCTTCTAAAGGGCTTGTGTGATTAGGTTTTGTTTACCTGGTTGGGTAATCTCCCTATTTTAGGGTCACATTTACAGGGACCAGGGTTTAAGACTTCAACATATCTTTTAGGGGGAGACAGTTCAACCTGCAGCAGATGGTTAGGAACCTTCACAAAGTTGAAATGTATATTATGGAGAATAACATGCAGTTAAAAAATAAGTGATGGATAGCCATAAACTTTGGATTTTTTGTTCAAATTCCTTAGCCTTTGATTCCACTCTCTGATTTCTATTTACTCCATTCTGTCTATACTAATATCTTGATCTCTGAACTCAGCTTGCCAACTTGTGTGCCTGCAAGTTTTTGAGTGGACATATTGACTTTAAATATGGTCCACATACTTGAGCTTCCACCCATGTCTGCTTCTCTCTCATCTGTGCCAACCTCATGGAATCTGGACCTAGCGCCAGCCTTTACTTGGAGTATTTCCATACACCACTCTAGATGACTAGACCTTTTAGCAGACTTCCTAACCTTATTAGAACTCCTGGTGCTGACTTGTCCTACCTGTTCTGTCTAGGTGCCACCTGAATTCAGGCATGGCACAGTTCATATGTCAGGGGTGCTACAGAAAGAATTCTTTTATTGAATGAGAAGTTAGACTAAGTCTTCCAAATACAAGCATGTTTATAATTCCGTGATGTTTTGGGAAGCCTCTCTTACTTGCCAGTAAGATTGTTTTCTCAAAGATGCATCATTCTTGGCAGTTATTATAATTTTCCTCCCTCTTCTCTGATAGCAGGACCTATGCTGGGTATTCTCTAACAGCTTGTCTCCTGTCTGATCTTCAAGTGGTATTAGAGAAGCTGCAAAAGCCCAGCGTGGGTTTACCTAACAGTTGAGGGATGGCTTTCCTCCCTGTAGATCATGTGACTGTGTATGCCTGTCAGATTGGCTGTCCTTTTAAAGATCTGAGAAGTGTAGGAGTTTTATCTACTATAACAGCTGCTAGGGATGATACATCTTCAGAGAAACAACCAGATGATAAGTAACGGAGGGGCAGAGGTTAGCACTACAGTCTCTCTTACTCTTTTATATCTTCCTTTCTAAAGTTATTATGCTCCCTTTCAGACTTATTTTAAAACATTTTTAAACAGCACAGAACATCTTTAAAAGAAACAAAGCAGTTCTTCCCCCAACCTTTTAAAATATTTTTGCACTCTTGGTAATTCAGAAAAGAGTAGATATGAACTCTGACATTTACTTTGAGGGCAGTGTTCCATTGCCAGCTCAGCCCATTTTATAAGTTTACTCTAGCACAGCCCTGATGTGACATAATGAACTCTGTAGTTCTTACACACTGGAGAAATGTGATCTTTGCCACTCTGAAATAGCCAAGGGAAGAACAAGTGGTCTTCAGCTCATATGGTAATTGGATCTGTGTGGATGCTGTCATCTATTCAGGTGAAGGACCACAGGGTTTCACAGTTTCTCTGAGAGGAACTTGGGAGGCCGATAGGGAAACAAGCTGTTAGAAGCAGCCCAGCACAGGGCTCGCTATATGGGGAGAGCAAAGAACTTTCTGCTTTAGGATTCCTACTCTAGAAGAAGTATTTCCAAGGCCTCAAATGACCCCATCTTCAGGTTTCCTTGGAAAATGAGGTGATTTTGGACTTAATCTCTAAGGTTTTACCCCGGGTCAGAGTGAGTACCTTGGATTTGGCTTTTCTTCACTATTCCTGTGGGAGAAGTGTATCTATCAAGAACTTAAGAGTATTTTGA